ATGGGGCAGTCACAGCTTCTCTGGGCATTGTTTAATATTAAAATATTTAATTGTTTAATAGGTCTGTAGTAATGATGAAATACATAAAAATTTGTGTTTTCTATAATTGATGTATTTACCATTCTTTCAGTTATGCTTAGGAAGCACAGAATATTACCACAGTATTCTGTGTTAGTCACTGCAGTGTTTTAAAAGGAGAAAGTCCCGCTAATGAAGAAGCTCATGGTCATTCAATTATTTGCATGAGGTGGGTACTCACCTCTGACAGAAGCCAACCTTAGCATTGTCTTCCCAAGACCAGGTTATTTCCCACCAGCCATGCTGGTAGGGGTTATGTAGGTGAACAGCCTCCTGTTCTCAGAGGGACAAGTTTCTAGGTCATGTTGCAGAGTGGTTGGATAGCCTTATATAAGAAGAAAGCCCTGGTGTAAATGCACTGCTGAGCTGACACACAGAGCCACGAGACACAGGACATGCTGCCCATGGCTGCTGTGAGAGAGCTGGCATGGCACCACAGTGGCCTTTCATAGCATGGTTGAAGCAGATGTAAAAACAACTGAATTAATTAAACTGTCAGCAAGTGTGTGAGACTAATATCTTAGTACTGTTCGGTGACGCTACTGATTGAAGCCAGCTGAAAAATTCAGTGGTATTTTTTTAACACTAAAAATATATTATATTTTTGAACATCTACTTCTGTCTTGGTTTAGGTGTTTTAGAATAACTTCTTTATCTTGTTTTTTCAAGTGTGACATAGAAGGATCTGCACCAAACCTAACCCTTACTTTGAATCTCCCGACGAACGCTCCTCCGCTCCAGGATATCGTGGTCCATCATTGTGTGAGGTCTGTTGACCCTGCCATGCTGATGTCCACTAGTATTGAGCCACTGGATGATTCTGTGTATAATGGACCTTACAAATTTCCTTTCATTCCTCCTTCAGAGTCCTTCAACTTGTGTTACTACACTTCCCAGGTAATAACATCCCCAATTCCTCTTCTTTTGGAGTCTTCAAATGGGAATAAAAATACCTGTGTTGTTAAACATGTTGGAATGAGTTTGAGTCCAATACAGGTAGTAAAATGGTTTTTATATAGGCATATATAAAATATATATTCTGAAACTATGAGAAAATTGGGGTTGTTCATCCTGGAGATTGTGTGAGCAACCTTTCAATGTCTGAAGTGGCCACAGGTAAGCCAGAGAGGGAGTCTTCGTTAGGAACTGCAGTGACAGGACAAGGAGTAGTGGGGATAAATTGAAAGAAGGGAAATTTAGGTTAGATATTAGAAAGATATATTTTCTTGTGAGGGTGGTGAGACATTGGCACAGGTTGCCCAGGGAGGCTGTGGCTGCCCCAAACCTGGCAGTGTTCAAAGCCAGGTTGGCTAAAGCCTTGAGCAACCTGCTCTGGTGGGAGGTGTCCCTGCCCAGGGCAGGGGGTTGGGACTGGATGATCTCTAAGGTCTATTCCAACCCCTTAACATACTTTGAAACTATGAAACTCCTTGGAAGGCACTTCAGGATTTGAGTTGTCTCAGTTGTGTTCAGGAGCTGTTGGTACCTTTGCTCAGCAATGCTGCTATTACTTTAAATGAACCACTTAAATGCCTGAATTAGACAGACTGAGATGTCAAGTGCTTGTACCACAAATCTGTGTATTGCAAACAACCTGAAGAGTTGGGCACAGTCAGTAATTAAAATGTTTGTTGATCATTAAAGTACTTTAGCAGTGAAAACAGTATATAACTGATCTTGTGATGATTGTGTTAATATATCTTGAGAATGAATATAGTTTTTTCCAGGTTCCTGTTCCCCCAATTCTGGGATGTTATCAGCTCATTGAAGAGGGATCCCAGTTAAAAATATCAGTTAATTTAAAGCTTCATGAAAGCATAAAGAATTCCTTTGAGTACTGTGAAGCTCGTATACCTTTTTTCAACAGGTGAGAATAAAGAAATCCTCATTTCTTCCATTCCTCTGATTCCCCTGAAATGAACCTGTCAGGAGGCAATCTAACAGGTTATGCTCCATCAAAGTACTAACAGTGGACACCAACCTTGCAAGTGTCAGGATGCCTCCTGGGAATTCCTGTCATTTCCAGAATTGTACCAGAATATTTGGTAACATTCTGAATTCTTCCCTTGCTCATCCTGTGGTATTTTTTCATGTGAAACACTGCCACAATCCTCTGGGTGGATTAAGCCTTGTGATCACTTCCAGCCCAGGGTTACCTGTTCCTTAAGACTGCTAATCCTACCTGCAGATCAGCTTATCAAAAATATAGTTATTTCAAATTAAAACGATAGTTCTCCTCTAAGCCTCTCTGACAGCTGCCATGACTCTGCTCTCACATCAGTAACCTGCAAAGTGTAAAGATGAGATGATCCAAAGTTGCTGGGGCTGATCATAGTGGGGGTAAAACACTATCAGTCAACTAAAGACAGTAAAATATCACCAGCTCCTTTATGATTACTGGGTTGAGACCATGGTGATCCCCTCCTGCTCTGTAATTGCCTCTCATAAATTAGCAGTGTGCTCAGTTGGGTGTGACTTGTCTGTATGCCCATAAATAATGTCTTTTAGAGCATTTTCTTGTTTTCTTTGACAAAACAGGTGTTAACAAATGCTGAATGAGAGTAATTCCAGTGGGTTTATTTCTCCCCTCTCACATGTAGGGGCCCAATTGCTCACTTAGAGTCCAAAGTTAGTCATGGCCAACTGGATTTGTCCCGAGAGAAGAGCCGACTGGTTTGGGTTATTGGTAAGCAACACACCCCTGAGCACTTCCCTTCCTCCCCAGTCAGTTCTCTAGAGCATGGGCACACCTGTTTGATTTCTAATAGATGCTGTTTCTGCTCTAGGACAGAAATTCCCCAAGTCTTTGGAAGTTTCTCTGACTGGAACTGTGTCTTTTGGCACTGCAGGCAAAGAGCACCCGACGGATTACGTGTGCACTGGGAACACTGCTTACGTGAAAGTAAGTCACAGGCTCTGGGAAATGAGGCCTCAGTAGTCACTTTTTTTATTGCCTTAGTTTGCTGTGAAGATACTGTTGATTTGAAATCAAACATAGTTATTAGAATTTGTGTTCTCAGCATTAAGTTCTCTTTGCTTGCTTAGAGGATTTGACATCCTGTCACTTTGGAGTATGCTTAAACACAAAGCCTGTAACACAGATTGCAAGAATTTTCACAGCAAGGATGACAATATGCATCTGATCATGTTTTCCCTCTCCTTCTGTAGCTGTATTTTAGGATCCCAGACTTTTCACTTACTGGCTGCTACGTAGACCAGCATTCCATTCAGATCTTTGTACCAGGAAAACCCAAAATTACTGCATGTGAGTTGGTAGAAGTGTCATTTATTTAACAGAAACTGCATGTTGAAGTTATGAATTGGATGTCAGTGGCTAAAATTATGTAGCTAATGATGGTTCTTTGCTTTTTAGTTGGGTTTTTTTGTGATGCTTAAAGCATCCCTGGAGTAGTGATTGGCCTCTTGGATGAAAGCTCTTATACTCAGTTACAAAGTCAGTCTCTATCTTGGGCTCTCTCCCCTTCACCCTGTGGTGGTTACTATGCTCTGCATAATGGCAGAACTTTTACTGGGGAGGCAAAGAATGTTCCTCTGTGGTTAGGCCCCTTGTGTAGGACACTTTTGCTAGAGACATGATGGGGAAATTAGCAGTACCTAGGTACAGAACTCAGCTCCTACATCCAATCTGTGGAGCAGAACCCAAATCTGCGTATTTTTGAGTTAACACGTGAGCAATTCCAACCCTGCACCAAAACCAGTCTGAGTGGGAACACAGAAGGCACTCACTAAACCTCAGCAATTCTGCCTGATGGCAGCATTTTTATTTGTGGCTGTCTGCCTGCTGCAACTTCTGTCAGTTATGTTAGCAGAAGTCTGTAAATGCCTTTTGTAAACTGTGATCTGCACTGTTCATTCTGTGATGGGTCAAATTCAGTCCTCAATTGTAACCCAGAAAAAGCAGCATTTTCATACTGTATGTTTTATATTGAGTTTGCAATTTATATTCATTGAACAAAATCCAAGCCATCCACCTGCTTTTGACTTAACCTCTGTTTGAATTTTAAGCTCATGACTGATACATTAGTAAAGGTAATTGAAGCTGAGACTTTAAATGTCTCATTATCAGAAACGATTTTCAAATAATAATAAGAGTCTTACAGTTTAAAGAGGCCATTATACCTTTTCTGTAAACTAGTAAGGATGGATTAGGAGTCACTTAACTTGGATGAAGGAATGTCTGACTGTAAGGCACCCTGTAATGCTTATTTTTCTTGCCTTTTTTTTTCCCTTCAGCCCGGGAACTGATTGCTTCTGACTACTACATCTGGAATTCCAAAGCACCAGCACCTATGGTGTACAAAACCTTACTTGACTAATTTGCTTGTGAATGTGTTTTGTATTTTAAAAAAACCCAACCCAGACAGGCTAATGAGATTATTGTCACAACACAGTGAAAATAAATATTCTCCAGCACTTGTGCTTTGTATGTGTCCTTCAAAATTTCTGTTGAGGAAAACCAAGAGAGGTCACTTCTCTTAAAAATATGAGGTGGTTTTAAACTTTTTAGTCCTGGATAACAGCTATGATAAGACAATTTGAAATGTACTTGCTGTGTCTGTTTTTACTTTCCCTTCTGACATGAACTGGTACAAAACAGAATAGATTACCCAGGAAGGTGGTGGAGTCACCATCCCTGGAAGTGTTTAAGAGGCATCTGGATCTGGCACTGAAGGATATGATTTAGGGTTTAGGGGTTACAGCAGAGTGGCAGATAATGGTTGGACTGGATGATCTTAGAGATCTCCTCCAACCTTGATGATTCTATGAAAATAGGTACAGACATTGGGATGTCTTCTGGGAGGGCTTCCAGTTGCTCCACTGGTTTTGTAAACCAGAGAGTTTGGAGGATGGGAAAGGTTTCAGTGTCTTAGTCCTGTGCTGAAGTCACAAGAATCTGACCAGACCCCAGATTAAGAGAACAGTTAAAGCAGGAGTTCTGTTATTTTCACAAGATGCCAACAGAATGGTCACAAGTCAGTAACTGACATGAATTTTAGGAGGGAGAGTTTGGCATAAGCAGCACTGCTAAAAGTGGAAATGATAACAGGAGTCTGTATTGCCTCTGTCAGCAGAAGTGGTGAGGTTCTTTCCACACATGCCTGTGAACTGCTTGCTCTGAAAGCTGAGTGTGAAACTGGTTTTTCAAGTCACAAGACTATCTCCAAGCAGGCAAAATCAGCTAAGTTTGCTGGAGGTCCCCAAAACCATCAGTGAGCTGTTTTCCCTGGAAAATAGGCAGAAAAGGACTGAGTTTAGAGAGGCAAACTTGTGATTCTGAGAAGAAAATCAGTATCTGCAGGAACACGGGAAATGGCCTGTAAGAGAGTTATCAGGAAATGAGCAGATCCAGAAAGGCTGGTGACAAGCTGACAGGACCTGGAGAGCAGCACAAAAGCAGAGAGGAATGCTGAGTAATGCCCTGCCTTGTGCTTCCCTGTGCCCTGCATGATAAATCAGCTTAGTGATTATGGAAGGAGAAGTTTTAAGCTATAATTTTAACATGACTTTTGAGATAGTAATCTAATTGGGAGGTTAAATGTTCTAGAGGGTGGATTAATTTGTGTGAAACACCATTGAGCTCAAACTGCTGTGCAAACTTAGGCTATGATCTATTTCACACAGGTGATATGTCTATTCTGCTCAGCGGGTGAAAGGTGAATCAGTGATTTTGCCCAGGATCCAGCTCCTACCTGTTACAGTTGTCCTCTCCCCTGGACACCACAGCATGAGTGGGGAGAGGAGATCTCTCTGCTGGAAGGGTTTAGATCATGTTCTGTACCCCAGGTCACTGGTGTTTGGTTTCCACCTACATGAGAAATGTGGGAGCTCCCTATTCTGCACAGCAGCACTGTGGAGGAATGACTGAATGGCTTTTCTTACTCAAAGGCTGCTCCCCAACAAATGCTGGGAAGCAATGGGATTGCCAAAATTCACAGTGTGTCAGGAGACTCTGTACTTCACAGCAGGGCCTTCTTCCAAATCATGTTTACTTTTGTTTCCCTCTTGTCCATGTCTCCAAATCTCTCATGGCTGGGAGAGTTGTTGTGCTCAGGAATGCAGAGCTGTGGCTTTGGGTTACTTTGCACACACCCATCAGTGCAGGTTTGGAGGGAAGGAGAGAGAGGGTGGGTGATGTTTCTCTTCTAGCCCTGAGCAGCCTTTTCAGCTTCATGCAAACTACCACCTGTTTCAATTTATTATCAGGGTTTGCTCCATAAACCTCTGGATTATACCTCCAGCACACTCCTGCTGCAGTCCTCTGCCCCTGGTCAGGGACAGCTCTGTAGTAGCAGAAGTGGGGAAAGAAGCTGTGTCTGCCTGTTTTAAAAACGTGGCTGAGGTGTCTGGCAGGTCTGAGTGTGCAGCACACCCTGTTCCCTGGAAAACACCCACGAACGGGTCAGACAGCAAACCAAACCAGGCTCCAGGCACACACCTTCACCAACACTCTTGTGCAACTGCTGTGGGACACCCACACTGGGGTAGTAGTCAGATGAGGCCTTTCTACTGGCCTGATGGCCACACTTGTCCTTTGTGAAGGGGAAGGGCCCATTCTCAAGGATATTTCATGAATCTTAGCAAGGTGGAAAACTAGGAAAGTAAGCTTAGTAGTAAACTTGGTAAGCTTAGTAAACTAGATAGCTCACAACCAGGTGTGTCACAACTCAGGTACAAGTGGGGATGCTGAGTAGATAATACTGGAAGAGCTGAAGTAGTTATAAATTACTGAACCTTTCTGTGCACCTCAGTGTGTTCCCTCATAGTTCCTCAGATGATTTCACTGTTTCTCTATGTGCTCTAACCATTTTCCTGTTTTAATAGAGGGGAAAAAGGCTTCAAAACCTGAATCATGAAGATTGAGAGCTCACATGAGCCTGAGAACTCCATGGCAGAGCTGGTATCTAACAGTAGTTCTGGTGGGTTCTAAAGGTGATCAAGTGTCAGTGATATTCCTCTAGTTCTTTAATAAAATCAACAAGTTTTAATACAACAGTTTATTTAAAAATGTGTTAAAGGGAAGGAATAAAAATTCTCTGTTGGTACAGAGTGCTGTTTCTTCTGCAAAAGTGTTTGCTGCTTGAAGTGCTTATATCTCTAATTTCCTCCTAGGAATAGACTGTGTGACATATGTGTAGATAACTTTGCACAAAGATTTTCATAAAGAAATTGCCAAAGAGTTCTCCAGCTTTCATGCTGCATTTCAGAGGGCCAGAGCAGAACTAAGATGCAAATCACTGAAAGCAATAAATGTAAGGACTAATTATATAAATATTGGATGTTCAACTTGACATTTTCCCAAACAAAATAATGAGTATAAATAGTAAGATGTTAAAATGGAACTCAACTAAAAAAATTAATTTGTTTCATTTCATTAAAATTTGGGGGTGGTGTAAGAAATGGCAATTAAAATGAAGCTAAAGCAGATATACACTGACAAACCTTTCAGATGAGACTGCACATTTAGCTGGGAAAGAAAATTGATGTAACAGACCTCTAAAACTTCAAATCATGCAAACCCCATGCATAACCCACTAAAGACAGTAAAATCGAGCTGAGATTTCTAAGCTCACTGGCAAGGGGGAACCCTCATCAAACATGTTATGGAGCCTGACTGTTGCTTACCATTTTGTGGAAGGTGAGGAAGGAAATGGGGAAGTGGCATTCCCAGAGGGTGCAGTGGCTCAGAAGCAGCAATTACTGAAGGTGCTGAAGCCCTGTTCAAACCATAAGGGTTGAAATGTCTTGAGGGAGAAAAAGAATAGATGTTCCAGCACAAGCAAGTGCAGAGAACAGATGCCATTGATACACGGTGAGAGGAGAATGGGACCAAGGAGTGTCAAAAAGACCTAATGTGTGGCTTAGGTGGACGTTGCCAGGACCAGTGCAATCATTCCTCCTGCAGTACATGGCACTGGTGTGGTTCTCACCAACCCCATTTCTAGGAAAATGTCCAGACCCTGAAGCTTCTGAGAACTCCTGAGCATCTCACCAAAATCTCCAAACCTCCTTGTTCTTCACTTCTACTCTCTTGCTACCCCTGGTGTAACCTGCCTTTCCCTCAAGGTGTTGATTCCAAAGGGTTATACCAAAGTGCCATGGTGAGGAGAATCTCTTCAGGTGTCTTATGTGCATTCCTCCTGCTCCAAGGCCTGAATTGTACCAGAAGAAAGACAGGACCAAAGTTCCTTCACTGGGAACTACTGCTGGAGAACAGCTTCCCAGGCCCCTTGGGAACACCATCCCACCACTGTCACCTCAATCTATCTCCTAAACTTGCTAGTCAGGTTGAGAGACAGGGTCAAACTGTCACCACTGTGTGAGAGAGAAATTTTCCCCCACAAAGTCACTGGGTCTGTTCCTCTCACTGCAGAAGGGAATTAGTCCACCTAACATGGCTAGATGCTCTCAAATCTGTGTTGGCTGTTACTGATCACTACTCAGTAATTTTCTGGAAGCTGTTTCCTCCCACCAGGGTCCCGAGGTATTTGGTGGCAGCTCCAAGATGGTATATGCCAGTTTCTCAAGTACTTTGGGGTAAATCCTATTTCTTCAGACAACTTGAAATCAGCCACTTTTACTACATCGTTCAGCCCTTCCCTCCTCTGCATTTTTATGCTGTTTTCACCAACATTAACTACTTTAGCCACTTGTTAACAGGAAACACTGAAAAAACAAGGCATTAAACATTCAACAGCAGTTGCCTATTTATTCATGCTGTCCTAGAAATTTGCCACACTTTGCCCTATTTGTACCAGCTCTAAGTCATTAAGAGAGTTTGTGAGTAAGTCCATGTTTGCCCTTCACTACTTTTACTGACTTCAGCACCTCCTCGTTGTCTCATCCTTTAGAGGACAAAGTACAAGGTACTACCAGTATCCTTTAGAGTGGAGAAAACCAAGCCCACCCAAGGCAGAGTCTATCCTGAGCACATCATGGCAGGAAATCCCTGCAGCACTCAATCCTGAAGGAGTCAAGAATTTTGTGGATCCCAGTTTGGGATTCTTCCTTGGAAGAGCTGCTATAGCCCCATATGGCTGTCAGTGGGAATCCCACAGGGGCACCTTGAGGTTGTTTCTAAACTCCATTCCCTTCATGCCACATGTGGTGGGGTGATCCTGGGTTGTGGTCAGTTCATCACATGTTCTCTGCTGCTCCTTCCTGCTCACTCTCTTCCCCTGATCCAGCATGGGATCCCTTCCATGGGAGTCAATTCTCCCCAAATTTCTCTAACATGAGTCCTTCCCATGGGGTGCATCTCTTCACAAACTACTCCAGCACGGCTCTTTTCCACATGTCTTTTGCATGGGGTGCAGGTCTTCAGAAATGCACTGCTCAGGCATGGGTCCCCC